GAGCTGGGCAGCAAGAGGGATGTGACCAGAACTAGCCCAAGTCCTGTGATGCACCGAGGGAAACCGGGTCACATGACAGGGGAGACTGGTGTCGCCATGACACCTCCTGGCCACATGACAGGTTCTCCCCTTCATCCTAACACTCCCAGATCATGTGATGGTCTCTCCCTCCTCCCATCTCCCATCGCCATGACAGTGCGCAGAAGGGGGTGATGATGGGGTACCAACTAGGGATGTAAAATATGAAACAGTTAAACTGTTGCCTGCCCAGAACTGGGCCCCGAGATGGCAAACGGGTTCGTTGCCCGGTGTGCTTGGCACCAATAAAGACACCGAGGGGAGAAAGCAAGCCAAGTTTATTTCAGAGCTCTGAAATGGCAGTAGGAGACCAGCGTGTCTCAAATCAAGTGCCACAAATACAAACAAATTTTCTTTTTTTATATTTTAAGCAGTTTCTGTGCAAGCCTTTGTTCTGTTACTCTCTCTTACTTCTCTTACTCTTCTTTTCTCTAGCAGTTACAATTAGAAAAGTTTCCATTTGTCTGCTTATCTTTTGGGCTTGCAAGGCCTGTTTACAGCAGCTGCCTGTTAGAAAAGCTGACCCTTCCATTTCTGCTTCAGCATGTAAGCGGTTAGCACAGAAGTAGGTGAGAGTTCTCAAGATGGGAGTTTTGTGGATCAGGTAGGCCCAGAGCAGAAGAGCTTCGTCGGCACTTTTGGCCTTCCACTCTCCCGAGTTACCTGGTAGCTATGCCTAGTGGCAACAACGTAAGTACCAGTGCATCTGAGAGTGTTGCGCTAGACAGACTCCACCCCATTCTTCTGTAAGCCGTTGTGGTCTCAAACAGGACGTACACCCTCAAACACACCCAGTGACAGCCTCCTGGGTGCCGGAAGGTGCAGGGTAGCCCTGGTTTCCGCTGCTGTTTGGGGAACAACCATGCCCCTACCTGTCAGCATTGTCATTGGAACTCAGACACCTCCGTTACCCGGAGAGGAACTGCAGCTGTCTCTGATCACACCAGCAGGCAAGAATATCACACGGTTCCTCATAAACTGGGAACTGCTGAACTGGACTTTAGCTGGACATGACCTGACTCAGCAAGGTCCCCCAGACTGGGTAGTTCCATTAAAGGGGCACACATTTTGACAGGCTCATGCCAGCAATTTGGTTTAAATTCACATTGCACCTGCATGTGCTCCCTTGATTGGAACTAGCCATAAGGGTTGGGATGAATGGGTAACCTGGGAATAAGTCTCCATGTTCCTTAGATGTTATCCAGGAAGAGGGGTCTGTTATTGTCTATGTTGGTAAAGCATGTGTGTGTGTAAGGACAAATTGTAATATTGTATTAATTAATGAACATTGGGTCCAACCCATGGTGCCTTATGTTAATCGCTGTTTCTATAATGTAACCACCATTGTTAGTTGTGATATTAAGTTTTCTGTGCCTATATGGACTGTACAACATTTAAATGCCTATCCTGAGCTCTACAAGGAGGTTTCCCCCATTTCACTGGAAATGGGTCTCATTGCCATTAAGGTAAAAACACAGGCCATCACTCTTGGTGGGGGACTTTGCTTGGGTAGAGCCCCAGTGCAGCAGGTCTTTTGAATATCATGCTTCACCCCATTGTGGTGATCATTGGTTTCCAAATTATACTAGCAATTGGTCTGCTTCTGCTGGTTTATTGGATACAACCACTGATGCGGCGGCGGCTGCAATGGATGGAAGATCAGACCCGGTGCCACGGAGCAAGGATGTGATGGGGATACTCGCTCAGCGCAAGCACCCCATCAACGGGGGGACTTGATACCAGACACCTCTGTGTTCCTGGGGAACCAGGGTGCAGTATCCAGCCTGACTCATGAAAGACACCCCCTCCCCCCTCCCAGCCTCTGCTTAAACCAAAACCCATCAGAGAAAGAAAACTTGCAGAGAGCAGTGAAGGGCGTTGGGAGACACACCTAGACCCTTCCTGACAAGGGTGACAAGATTAAGACATCTCCATTAGCATACAGAATGGAGAGCAGAGACAACTCCCCTAGCCTCATCTGCATGAAAGATGGGACAGGAAGACATGCCAATTTACATCCAGAATGGAGAACAGAGAACCACACTGAATTCTGGGACCAGAACAAGCAGGGAAGCACTGCATCCTGGGAATCTCTGCTCCAGATGCTAATGAACCTACGCCTGCACACACACCCAGCTCAGCAGTTATCAGACCAATTCTAGTTGTGAATCCTTAATTGATATCCAAATACTGAAACAGCCTAGTTGTATTGTGAGCTCCCTGGAAGAAAACACCACCCATAGCCAAGAGTGATCAGCTCCTATTGTCTAGTCTAAAGAAAACCCTTGAGTCATCAGCTTACCTATAAACAAATCTAGTGTTCTCCCTTCAACCATTGTATTTTCTCTACAAAAATCCCTACTCACCTTCTAGTCAGGGTTCTGATGCTTAGATCCAAACTATGCATCAGTTCCACTGGAACTCCATCATCTCCTCACTGATCGTGCTGGGGACTCTGCCTGCCTCTTGCCCTCAGGACCCTCAGCTACCACCATCATCTGGGAACCCCGACCACTTCAAGCTTCAGGGAGCGGTGAGACCCCCTTCTCTCTCTCTCTCTCTCTCTGTTTTCCTTTCTACCTTAGGTATTAGCCTTTAATCATGTATGTTATGTTGGTTTAGCTCTCCTTGTGTAGTTATCACTATTATTCAATAAATAACTTCTATGGTTAAGTTGGTTGCTTCTCTCTCTCTCGCTGAACTTTACTCGTTTGTGTTTTTAGCTTCCTCCATTCACGCTACAGCAACGCTTCTTTTACCTACGCTAAAGATCCCTGCAGCGCTCAAAATACTGTAGGGTTTGCTCATCGAGTCGGTTACTGCCAGTACAATTGTGTTGGGGGAGTGGGGATAGGGACGTGCTGAATTTGGGATGCAGAAGGGTAACAGCTTGAAAGTGCTGCTTGACCCAGTCCATGGAGCCCAGGGGCATATAAAGAGAGACAGCTTGAAAGTGCTGCTTCCTCCAGCCCAGTGAGTCCAGAGACATATAAGGGGTCAGCTTGACAGTGCTGATTGACCCGGTCCGCTCAGACTTGCTCTGTTAATGTACGTGTGGGGGTGGGGGTGTTCAGCCGGTTCTGGGGTGGGAGTAACCCAGCCCTAGGGACCCTAGGTCCTGCAGGATAGCTCCATTGGGAGGGGACTTGCAGAAGGGAGAAGTAGAGCTCCATATGTAAACACAAGTGACACAAGCAGTACATTGACAGGATTACAGAACCCCCTTCCCCAGAGGAGTAACCCGAATAAATGAGCATACCGCAAAGTAATGGGCACATCTGGTAACAATTGGCACCAACGGCCAAGGGACAGGGTGGATTTTCCATTTCTTGATGTTGTCCAATCAGGCCTGGGTGCCTTCTGGAAGACATGCTTTAGCCAAACACAAGTTATTGGACTCAGGACAAGAGTAACTGCAATTCTCTGGGCAGTGATTCCCAACTAGGGATCTGCAGCCCCCTGGGTAGCCGTGAGCAGGTTTCAAGGGGATCTGCCCCAGGCGGCGGGAATCGAGGGAGGGAGCGCTACCTCCGCCCTTTTACTCACCTCAGCGGGCCACCCAGCCTGTGGGTCAGCACCAGCAACGCGTTTCACACCAAGTAAGTAAAACAAAAATAATATTCCGGTTTTTTATTTTTGTACCTCTGTGGCACAGGTGGGCCGAGGAGTTTTTATAGCATGTTGTGGGGGCCTCAGAAAGAAAAAAGTTGTGAACTCATGATATAGAGGAGGTCAGACTAGGTCAGGGGTTCTCAAACTGGGGGTCGGGACCCCTCAGGAGGTCACGAGGTTATTACATGGGGGGGTCGCGAGCTGTCAGCCTCCATCCCAAACCCTGCTTCGCCTCCAGCATTTAGAATGGTGTTAAATATATATAAAACGTGTTTTTAATTTATAAGGGGGGTCACACTCAGAGACTTGCTATCTGAAAGGGGTCACTGGTACAAAAGTTTGAGAACCACTGGACTGGGTAATCTAATGGTCCACTCTGACTTTAAAGGCTATGGAAGTATGAAACTCTGAACCTTTCTGTTCTAATAGGACTCAAGAGACAGCACGCATGCCCCCCACTTTGCCCCTGCCTTGGAGGGGCTGATCTCGCTGCAGCTGGGAGCTACAAAATTAACTTTCAACTTTCACTTGGCTTTAAGTTCCTTCCCCTGCTTGGCTGGGCACAGGAGGGAGAACTGATTCTTGTCCCTTCACTTTCCGTCTTGTTCAGAATCGAAAGTTGGCCTTTGTCTTTGGCCCACTTCCAGCTGGGAGGCTCCTGCTGGCACCTAGGGGGTGGCTGGTTCAGGAGAAAAGAGAAGCTCTGTAAGGTGTATAACGCAGGGTGGTGTAGGTGGCCTGGCTTCTTATCAGCTGTAGAATTGTATTGCCCTCTGGTGTTAGCATGTCCCGTTTAGGCACTGAAACAAAGAGCCAGATTTTCATGTGCTCAGTGCTTGGCTCTTCTGAAAATCTGACCCCAGTCGTGTCTGCTGAGCCCTAGAAAATCTGGTCCTAGGAATCCCTGTCTAACTTTAAAAAAGACACTTCCTCGCTTCACTTGAATGTTAACGAGAAACACTGGGGGCCATTCTCCTTCACCTTACAGCTTGTGTAAATCATTCAGACTCCCGCACAGTGGGCAAACGATGCAAGCTCACTTAGCCCTGGTGTAAGTGACCACGCATGGTGCAGGGAAATGGAGAATCAGACCCATTCTCTTCTTGAATTTTTACACAAATAATAGTATTTTGCCCACCTAGAACACCTTCCTTCTCAGGTCCTCACAGCACTTTTGAGAGTATTGAAGGAATCCTCTCGACACCCTCTTCCCCCCGTTTCATCCCCCTCAGTCTCTGCCCCCGCCCCGCGCCTTTATTCTCCCCTTCCCCTGATCCCTCCCCCCTCTTGCTCCCATTCGTGTCCCCTCCCTTCCCCCCGGCCTCCGCCCCCCCCGCACCAGCCCGGACCCCACCCCCTTGGTTCCGACCCGGCGGGGCTGCGAGCCGAGCCACTGGCGCCCGGTTCGGTTCGGGCGGTGCCGGTTCCGGTCCCGGCCCTGGAGCAAGGGGACGGGGCGGGGATGCTGCTCTCCAAGATCAACTCGCTGGCCCACCTGTGCTCCGGGTCCGGCGGGGAGCTGCACCTGGCCAAGCTACAGCCAGGTGAGGCCCGGTTCGGTTCGGATCGACAGCAGGGGGTGGCTCTGGAGTAGGGTGCCCCAGAGCGGTCCGGGTTCGGTTCGGGAGGAGTCCTGTCCTGCTGGGCATTGGGGAGGTTCGGTTCGAGAGGGGTAGGTTCAGAGAGGAGTCTGGTTCGGTTCGGGGGAGGGATGTGGGTCTGGTCTGGTTTGGGAGGTCTGATCCAGTTTGGTCTGGGGAGGGATGTGAGGCTGGTTCAGTTCGGGGAGGGAGGTCGTTCTGAGGAGGGATGTGGGGTTGCTGTGGTTTGGAGGGTTGGCCGGGTCTTTTGAGGACACAGCTGGTTCTGATCCTGGTGTCTTGTGCCTATCTGCCTGCAGGGAAGGACAAGGAGCCCCTGGAGAAGCTGTACCAGGTGGGCCCACTGCTGGGCTTTGGTTCTGTCTACTCGGGCACCCACCTGTCGGACGGCACCCCGGTGAGTAGAGCCTGGACAGTGACCCCCACCCCCACAGCCGGCTCCCCATGCACGCTGCTCTATTGATCTCCACCTTTGCGTCCCTTACCCAGTTACATCTCCTTTGCTTTGCCCTGGCATAACCACCATCTTGCATCCCTTCCATTGGTCCCTTGTTTGCCTCCCCTCTTTCTGGGGTTGCCTGACCTGATTCTGATTGTCTGTCTGGTTCTGTTTGTGTTCTAGGTAGCCATCAAGCACGTGGCCCGGGACCGGATTTCTGACTGGGGAGAGCTGGTAAGTGTCTAGGGCAGGTATTTGTTTACTCTTACATGGCAACCATGCAATGATTTAGTTAGGCTGGATGCCAAAGATATGCAGCATGGTCTACTTGAATGCATCCTCTCAGCAGCATCTGCTACAGGGCTCTTACGATACCCTGATCATAACTGACAGCTGTCCCAAGCACCTAAATCCCTTTTGAAAATGAGAGCTAGGCTCCTAAATCAGTTAGGTGTTTCAACACTGAGCACCGCAATGCCTAAATATCTTTCAAAATCTGGCCTTATGTCAGGCTTTTCATCCCTCGAGCTTCCAGTGCCTTACATATATACTATACAACAATATCTTTCTCTCCATTTTACGGATGAGAAAACTGAGGTAGGGGGAGATGACATGACTCGCTCAAGGTCATTTGGTGACTCGGTAGCAGAACTGTGGATAGACCCAGTTCTGCTGACTCCCATGCCCTGTGGCTTCCTGATGCAAAATAAAAGCCAGGGATAAAACCTAAAAACACAAATATAAATCATGGGCTTTTGGGGTATTTATTCAGGACTCGAACTCAGAGCCTGGAAAATGCAGCATCAGCAAGAGAAACACTGAATTACACAACAGAGGAAGGAGATTACTCAGGTAATGGTCTCTCATCTCCATCAGTAGGAAACACGTGAAAATGGGGCCCAACGTACTGCTCCAATACCTCCCCTCACACGCCTTTCCTAGCAGTTGGAGCCCAACCTAAACCTGGGCGGTTCTGACAAGTTCCTAGAGCTCCGCCTCATCCCGAGTGACAGCCTTTCTTGCCCTTTTCTTTCAATAATCATCAGGGCATATGTGACAATGAAGGAGAGCCAGAAACAATCCATGGGGATCCTGATGGTCAGCCCAAACCACTCCAGGGGGCTGAGGGAAAACCAGGCTTCTTTGGAGACCTGGTAAGCCAGGGCCACGATGAGGCAGTTAGCCAGGTCATAGAAGGTGATCCATGCAACATAGGCGAACATGCCCATGTAGAGCCGCTTCTTGACTGAGTTGATGAGGAAGGCACACACCGGGTAGGTCATGACAGCCAGCGTGATGCCTGTATAGTAGCAATACGGTAGCATCTTCCCCACTTCAGTTAAGTTGAAAGGCTTGATTTGTGCCATGTCCGTCATTGCTCGTTCCAAGTGGCCAACCTCACAGATCAGGTAGATGTTGGTCACTAGGATCATGTAGACAGCAGCTACAGTGGCCCCGGCCTTGGGAGTTATGCCACAGAACCCCCCTGGGCACAAGATGGTCATCATGTTTTCTCCACAGGCAACGTCACTGGCCAAGGAAACCGAAGGAGCGTCGCAGAGTAGAAAGGCAAAGTAGGAGAGACGTTGGCAGGGCTTGTGTTAGGGATTAAGTGCAGTGAACTCAAGCCTGTGCTGGAAAAGAAAAGGATCAGGTTAAAACGTCGTGGGGCGGGGGTGGGAGGGGAGGGTCATCATGTGGAACGCCTAAGGAGGAGAGTTGATCAGTGTGCGCACACACACACTCTGTAACCCCATCTCTCTCTCTCTCTCTCTCTCTCTCTCTCTCTCTCTCTCTACACACACACACACACACACACACACACACACACACACACACACACACACACACACAC